GTCCCCTTTAATAATTCCACCATTAGAGATTCATTCTTTTGGCCATTCAAAAGTCATCTGTAAGATCAGAAGATTCTGGGGGAAGTGACGGAGATCTAATATTAACTAATTCTTAATATTTTGGTTTGAGGAAGTTGGAGGGGGGAAGAAGGCTATGGATCCTTTTCTTAGAAAAATGCAGACAGATGCAAAATCCTACACAACTCTTGGATACAGAGAAAGAACAAATTTAAATCTGTTACCACCTGATAACTTGGGCAATGAGTTGAGAGAAAGAGATTGTCTCACCATGGCAATAATTGAGGCCCTGCAGAGAAAAATACCAATAAGTTGAAGGAGAGTTAGGGAGGTAGGAGAAAACCAGAGCTTAAGGGACAAGGAGGGCAAGAGGATGGTAAAGATGAACTTAGTTTGTTGAAAGATAATCCTGGAGTGAGAAGGAGGAAGCAATTACCAGAATCCAGAGACAGAATTTCAAGAAAAGGGCTGTCAGACAGGAGTTGTGACCTTCAATCAAGAGTTGCAGTTGGCCACACTTCCCCCTCCTTTTAATGTTATTGTCCCCATTTTACAAGTGAGCAAGATGAGGCTCAGAGAGATGACATCAACTGTCCAAGGCCACATAGCTCGGAAATGGAAGAGCCAAGATTCAAACCCAGTTGTCTTCTTCCCAAGGCCACACCCTTGGTCCTTGACTCTCTCTCAGGCTAGCCAAAAGGAGCCAAGATGAATGTGTCCCCTGAAACCTGGATAGCTCTGGTTTGTTGAGCTCCAGCCAAGGCCAAGTTTGCAAAATTTAGCTAATAATGCCTTAAAAGACTGAAGTGTTGTGATACCAAGGGGACTGCAGAACTAGATCTTGCAAATGAAATTGACCAAAGGGGTAATATACATTTGGTTCCAACTGACATCTTTATTGTCAGTCATTAAGCAGAGATGATCCCTGGCAAGTCTGTCTCAGGGGTATCATAGAATCTACGGAACCTTCGCCAATTATCCCAATCTCCCAGGACTGGAGGAAAGGAGTAAGCCCACCCAGGAGTCTTTCATCATTTGAGACTCTGTCCTGCAATTGACAAGAAGCTGGCATCAGTAGCAAGGGAAATGCATCTCTTCTCCCTCTCTTTTCCCCAAGTATCTGAGATTCTGCCTTTGGTCTCTAACTGGGCCTGAGATTATGCTCCCCATCTCAGAATGGAGAGCAGGCTCACTTCATACCCTCTGCAGTCAGCTGCAACAAGTCATCAACTTCAACCCATCTTCCCAGATGTGCATGCTGCAGAAGCCCAGACAATGAAGCCTGATTGCCATCCAATGCAGTCCCAGCAAAGTCAGCATCCCCTCCTACCTGGGGAGATCCCTTACCCAGAGGAAATAGAACCAGCAGTGAGAGGTGGGTTAGGGGAGTCACTGTTTTCAGAGACAGCAGATACACCCAGTGATAATTCTCTAAGCTCAGAAAGAACCAGTGGGTTCATTAAGAGTTCATGGCCACCATGCTCATGGAAGTTCAAGGAGGGACACAACTCCAGGTAGAGGCTGAGCTAGGCTCTGAGGCTACAGTGGGAACAAAAGAGGATACAAGCCCTGCTCCTGAAGCTTACAGTCCAAAAGAGAAGACAGGTATTAATTAGATAGTTGCACCAAAGAGTGTAACCTTGCAAAATGGCATGTGCAGAAGAGAGAGAAGATGAATGAGGGGCCCTAACAAAGAGGGCAGCCGAGACTAGAGGGACAGGGAGGGCTTCCACGAGAAGTCCTCTTTGAAGTGAGAGTCGAAGGACAAGGTGGAGCTGACTCAGTGGGGCAGGGCAACCCTGTGGAAGTGAGGAGAGGCTTAAGTGAGAGGACAAGAGCTACCAAGTACCATGAGCCACCATCCATGAACATTGGCTCCCTCCCAGCTGCCAGGCTCAAGCTTTGCTTTCTCATCTCATTTCATCTTCATAACAACCATTAGGTTGGTGATGTTGTTACTTCGCATTACTTATGAGGAAACTGAGGCACAGAAAGGACCAGTAACTTGCCAAGAGTCCCACAGCTACTAAGCAACAGAGCCAGGATCCACACTCAGCCAGGCTCCAGGATCTGTCTGCCTTTCTGGGGGTAAACAGGATGTGCTCAACACAAGTTGGGTTTTCTTATTACCTGAGCTAAGATTGGGAGGTAAGGCAGAGAAATAGAAAGAATAATCGTAAAAATCATCATAGGATAGAGACATTAGCAGTTTCTCTCTGTCTTTTATTGTTCAAAAGTTAGTGTTGAAGCAAGAGTACTTTGTCGTTAAATGGAATGGAATGGGGAAAGGAGGGAGGAAATAACCCTTCCCCCACCCCAAAACTATGCCCAAGTATCACCTTAGGATTGGAAGGGGTAGAAGGCAGTCTTCGACCTGCTGTTTTCTTGGGGGACAGCAGAACTGGGGGCAGGGCATGGCAGGATCTGTGAATGAAGGAAACCAAAAAAAGCATCTTTCCCAAAAGCCCCCACATTGCCTCCAGTCCTAAGACAGGAGAGCACAATAATCACTGTGTCAAGACCATTTGGCTTGTATTAGAAATTCTGAGCAATCTACTCCTGAGCCTGGGCAACCTCTGATCAGCGTGGGCACTACCCAGGGGCTGCCCTCCAGGACTGGCTGGGCCTTCTTTTCACCTTTCAGTCTCAGGCACAGGGGCGACGGGCCTTCTCCAGCCCTCCGGGAAAAGGAAAGGAGGATGGGCCTGCTCTCTTTCCGCAAAACACCGCCCTTCCCTTTGGGAGGGCAAGAGCACTGAGAAGTTTCAGGGATTCAACCCAAACACCCTTAAAGGTATGCAGGCAGAGGATAATCATAGTGCATACAGCATAGGGCACAGTAGCCAGCACTTACCCTCAATAAATATTAGCTATTGTTGTTACTGCCAATATTGTTGTTGTCATTATTATTATTATTACTATTGGGATCCTTATGCTCCCGCACAGGACTGTTAAAGAAATTAAATGAGATGATCAATCTGAAGCACTTAGCACACAGCAGAACCTCCATAAATGATATCTGTCTTTATGATTACGATTACTCCACTGAGACATTAATGAAACAACCAACATTTTGGAAAATGTATCCAAGGAACCAAAATACATATAAAAAGAAATACTGCCAAAGTTGTTTCAAAGCACCAGGCTAGTTCAAAGTAGGAAAAAAAAAAAGATTAGACATTGTGGATCTCTGCTAATAAATCAGCAACCTAGGTAACTAAACCAAAGACACGTGGGGTCAAAATAGCCATCAAATTAATGCTCCTATTTGCCAAGGAACAGCCATTCTCAGCAGGCAGTTGGAACTAAATACTCATGTATTCACTCACTCATTCATTCATTCCTCCGAGAACATCCGATTTTGGCCTTGTGAGACTCTAAGCAAAATACTCATTGAGTCACACCACACCTGGACTTCTGGCCTTCTGAACTGCCACATAATTAAAGGATACTTTTTAAGCTGCTAAATTTGCTGTCATTTTTACAGCAACAACAAAAACGAATACACCTCCACACACTATGAGAAGCCCAAGTCATGGGGAGGGGGTCCTGAAGGCTGAGACCCCACAGAGGCCAGGAGCACCGAGGAGTCCGTCTGGCCTTTGGATGATTCCAGCCCCTCTGCACCTGAACCACCACTGCATGGGCGATGCCAAGCCGGAAGTGCCCAGCTGAGCCCAACCAAGCCACAGAAGTGGGAGGGATAATGATCAATTGGCTTTTTAAACCACCAAGTTTCCCAGAAATGGAAAACCAGAATATTCTGTTATGAGGATAAATTAGAGATTACACCCTAATGCATTTGGAACAGTAAGTACTCCATAAGTGTTGGCAAATGCAGTTTTACTATGATCCATCTGACAAATGAGGAAACAGGGACTTGGAGAGGTTAATGGACACACAGAGCTACAAAGTGCCGCCACTGTGCCTGACTCTAGATCCTGCTCTTCCCTCAGCACTGGACTGGCTCCCGGCCTCGAAGCCTGCTCGAGGTGAAGGCAGCTGTATTTCTTCCAGGGCTGCTGGCTTCCATACCAGGCCAGTTAAAGGCCATGTTCTGATCTGGCACAGGCTTCTGCAGCCCGGGAACAGGATATGGAAGGTTCATATCCCAAACCCCAACAAGACTCTGGCATCATTAGATTTTTACTTCCTCTCCCAGGGGCTGCAGGAAAGGTCAGCGGGGCTTGAATGGTGCAGCCACTGAGAATGATGCCCGCTGTTCAGCCCTGCCTTTTCCTCCCCTGGCTCTATGACCCAAAAACTAAGCCCAGGAGGCTGCTGTGGTCCTAAGCCAGCGTCCTAGCCCAGGTTGCTGGGCTGCTCATTGCATGGCTTTGAGCCCAGCGGATTCATTTCCACATGAGCCTGCAGTGTCCAGCTTTCTGAACAGAAGAGCAATGACCAGGTTCCATCACCCACACTCCCTCCAGTGCAAGCTGAAAGGCCAGGTGTGTAGCCGACAAATAGTCCAGAGTGTGGGACACAGTGAAGGTTCCTCTTTTTTGGTAAGAGGCAGGGGAGAAACACAGCAAAGAAAGGAATGTTTTTTCTCTATTTTCTCAGTTCCCTTCCTTCACCTTCCTCCTTTTATCATTTTCTCCTCATTTCTTCACTCCTACTCTTTTTTTCTTTTTATAAATTACTATTTTTCAATTATAGTTTACATTCAATATTATTCTGTAACTGTACAGTTTCAAGTGTACAGTATAGTGATTAGATAATCGTGTACTTGACAGAATGGTCCCTCTAATAATTTTAATATCTACCTGGCACAACACATAGTTATTACGATATTACTGACTATATTCCTTATGCTGTAGTTTACATCCCTGTGACTATTATGTAACTACCAATTTATACTGCTTAATCCCTTCACCTTTTTCACCCAGCCCCCTAACCACGTCCCCTCTGTCAACTCTCCATCCGTTCTCTGTATCTATGAGTCTATTCTATTTTGTTTGTTTATTTTGTTCTTTTTTTTTTCTTTGAGTGTTTGGGAATAGAACTGGTGAACTAGAAACCATTAGCACCAAAGACATGATACTGAGAGGCTCAGGAGCCCTTTCTTTCTGCCTCTGTACATTCCTGGTACCGGTACCTCATGCCCAGCCTCCCCCAGGAAAAGAAGGATTGTTTATTTTATTAAGATTCCACATATACTCATAAGTGAAATCATATGTTATTTGTCTTTCTCCATCTGGCTTAGTTCACTTAGCATAATACCCTCTAGGTCCATTCATGCTGTCACAAAAGATAAGATTTATTTTTTTATGGCCCAGTAGTATTCCACTGTGTATATGTACCACAGCTTTTCTATCCACTCATCTATTGATGGGCACTTGGATTGCTTCCCTCTCTTGGCTATTGTAAATAATGCTGCAAGGAACACAGGGGCGTATATAGTCTTTTCAATTAGTGTTTTGGGCTTCTTTGGATATATTCCCAGAAGTGAAATTACTGGATCATAAGAAGTTCCATTTTTAGTTTTTTGAGGTACCTCCATACTGTTTTCCACGGTAGTGTCTCCAGTCTACATTCCCACCAACAGTGCACAGGGTTCCCGTTTCTCCACATCCTCGCCAGCACTAGTTCTTGGTTGATTTATTGATGACAGGCATTCTGACAGGTGGGAGATTATATCTCATTGTGATTTTGATTTGCATTTCTCTGATGATTAGTGACCTTGAGCATTTTTTCATTTGTCTATTGGCCACCTGTATGTCCTTGGAGAAGCATCTATTCTGATCTTCTGCTCACCTTTTAATTGAGTTCTTTATTCTCTCTTGACACCTCTGTAGATCATTCTCTCCCTCCTCTCTCTCCTTTTTGTTTATACACACACTATCTTCATACCCCAGGATAAGGCACCAACCAGGACATCGAGCTGCAAAGTGGAGACTATGGCAGGCGCACACCTTAGAGCCTGAGCCTGGAGCAGGTCACCGTGGGCCTCCAGAGGCATCAGCCTCCTCCATCCCTGAGGGCACCTCTGTAAAGCACTAAGGACAAGACTTTGGAGGGATAAGCACCCTCCTCCCCAGTCCCCTCTGCCCATTCCTGCCCACCTCTGTCCTCTGGCTATTCTGGAGGCCTGGATGATGGAGAGGACTTGCAGGTCACACTCAGAAGGCAGTGGCTGGAATCCTGCAATAGCCAGTATTCCCTCCACAGAGACTGTGGCATGGCATTGCAGGTGAGGGGCCACAGAGCCAAGATGTCAAAACTCCCCTGGGCTCTGCCTGGTGATTGAGATCTCCTCACTCCCCCTGCCTCTCTTTCAAGATCTGGAGATGTGGTCAGGGCCTGATATCTTCCAGAGGGCTGCAGATGAAAAACTTATGTGTGGAGAAATTACTCAGCACCCCTGTGGTCTTACAGTTAACTTGTAGAAGGTAGGAATTACCAGATCACTCTCTTCCTCCACGCCCACCATGCCGGCCATGCCCACCGCCCCTCCTTCTCCTTCTGCTCTGCTGCAGAGCTGAGCCTTCTCTCCTTTCTGTGCTTTGTTGGGAGGACAAAGATGAGGAATGAGCTCTTGGTCCCATGCAGCCATTTCTCAGTTGTGTCTTTGAAGGGCTGGCTTCTCTTCTGGAACAATTGTTATGGCATAAAAAAGATGTCCTTGGCGAGACACCTAGGGAAAGTGATAGAGAAAGCCTACAGATCCGAGTCAATCCAGAAATCACCACCCGTATCTATCCATCCAAACACCTTGGGGGAAGGGGATCTAGGAAAATAGTGTCATACAATTGTTTGTCTCCTCCTCGCAGTCCTAATAGCAGACTGCACAGGACACAACTGAACATCCAGAAGAGCCACCCTCTCCAGGTGTGTGACATCACAGGAAAGCAGCCTGTGACAGGTGGGCTAAGAAGGGAAGGTGCCGTCCTATCAAGAGAATACATCTTCATGACCCATAATCTTAGAACAGTGTGAAACCACACGCTAACACCACCAGGTAAATATCACTAGACCCATTTTGCAGATGAAGAAACTAACACCAGGAAGTGAGGTGGCTGCCCCAGGTCATACAGCTCATTATTGGATTCAAAATCAGGTCTCCCCAAATGTGGGAGAGGGGGTGGGCAGGGCAGGGGAGAGTAATGGGGGAGAAATGGGGACAACTGTAACTGGACGATAAAATTTTTTTCAAAAAATCAGGTCTCCCCATCTCCAAAACCGCAACACTGACCTCCACCCAGTGAGGGCCGCCCACCCACTTGCTTTCAAAGCCTGCATGCAGCAATGCCACTGGAGGCCTAGGGATTTACCCCAAGGCTGGGAGATTTATGCAGCTTATTTCCATTAGGACTAATGGAAGAAAGAAAGAGGCATTTGTCTTATAATTAGAAGAGAATTCAACCTTCAAAGCCAACAATAATATCTCAGCTTATGTAACAAAAAAAAAAAAAGAAAAGAAAAGCAAATGAATATAATTAGGGAAGAGAAATAACGATTTGGATTACTGGCTGCAGAAGGGGTGAGGTGCAGGTATAAGACAATTCCATATGGAAATAGTTTTTCGGCTGCCAGGCAGGGCAGCTTTCAAATCCCTGTCATCGGCAGAGCCACCGCTTATAGAAGATCTGTGGTGCGCCAGCTCTGCGTGGTATTTGCAGCATCTCCTCATAACCCCATGGAAACAGGCTATTATTATGCCCATCTCTGAAATGAAGAGCTGAAGTTGAGAAACAATGTTCCTTGCCAATCACTGCAAAATACATTCCATCTTCATCATGTATTCAGCAGGCACCTACTTAGTGCATGCCAGGCCCAGAGCAGGAACACAAAGGTACCCAGCAGAGCAGATATGATCCAGGATCCAAATCTGCACTTGTCTCACACCAAAGCCACTCCCCTTCTGGGTAGAAAATCTATCGGTATTTGTTGAATGAACCAAATTCCTTCAAAGGTTTCCTTCCATAGCTATCGCTTCGTTGTTGGCTAGAGTTCTTGGCCAGGGGGAGCCAGACAAAACTTCACAAGCATCTCAGGACTCAGCACTCATCAGCTGTCATGACCCAGGGACTGGCAGCTTCCGCAAGAGCCAGGCTTGGTTCTGGTCCCACGGCCCCAGCGAGCATCCCCCACAGTGGCCTGTGTTAGATGGCCGACAAAAGGTGTAAGCTAATAGAGTATTGACTTTTTTTTAGAAGCCAAAAATTGCAGGTTTTTGCAGCAATCAATAGCCATGGAGAGGGCATGAAAAGAGAGCATGGTGAAAACCCAGCCTCTTCGGACCACCAAGCACATCCCCCAAGCCCTACCACCCCTCTGTGTTTCTCTCTGCAGCTGAAGTCCTAGGCACAGAAGATGGAGCAAGAGGCTGGAAGGGAAGTGGCATGCAGTGGGTGGAAGCCATGGGCCTCCGGAGCCTTTACACAGCCCCGGAGCAGAGTTCCACCTCTGTCTCATAGCTGAAGAAGCCGTGTGCAAAGGGGCGGGCCCCTGCCAATGTCACTCAGCCACTGAAAGACAAAACTGGGACTTAAGTTTGTGTACCTATATAACCTAGGCAGCTTGTGTTGCACTAACAGCAAATTTGGAGTTTAAGAAGCATGCCTTGCCATTGAGACTCTCTAAGGAAGGCCAGCAGCAAGGCTAAATCTGAGCCCTGCAGGCGATGGTGGGGAGGATGGAAACCTGGAGAAGTCAGGAAGGGCCTCACACAGTCATTGAACAAAGATTTATTGACTACCCATTGTATGGCAGGCACTAGGATTTGTAAAATTTGTACTAGGGAAATAGGAATAAGCAGAAATAGACACAGTCCCTACCTTCCTGGAGCTTATGGCCCAGTGGAGGATGCACATTAATCAAAAGATGTCACAGATGAACCTAAAATCGCAACCATTGCAAAAGGTACAGGAAGGCTTCCTGGAGGAAGTGACCATTGAGATGAGACCTCAAAGACAAGGAGGAGTTAACTGGGCCAGAGATTGGGACATGTGCAAAGACTGGGGCATAAGCAAAGGTCCTGAAGCAGGATGAGCACATGGTAAGGGTGAGGATTTGCAAAAAGGCCAGTGTACCCCTGGCTGGTGTGGCTTTGTGGACTGAGTGGACTCTGTGAACTAAAAGCTCATTGACTTTTTTCCCAATAAGGGCATATGCCTGGGTTGCGGGCCAGGTCCCCAGTTGAGAGGCAACCAATCAATGTTTCTCTCCCTCCTTTCCCCTCTCTAAAAATAAATAAACAGATTTTTTTTAAAAAAAGGCCAGTATAGCTGGAGTGCAGAGAGCAAGGAGGGTGTTGGGTACAACATGAGGCTGGAGAAGTGGACAGGTGCTGGACCACAAAGGACCATGCAGGTCCTTTTAAGTAATTCTGTCTTTATCCCAAGAGAAAAGGGAGTCCACTGAAACATTCAAAATCAGGGACTGGGGTGGATATTTACATGATCAAATATCGAGCTGCTGGGCTGGGAATGAACCCAGTTACCTGGAGCGTAGATAAGAGAGGAATCAATAGAGAAGTGAAAGCAGGAGCTGATGGAGCCTTGTACTGTACCACCTTCTGTGGGCCCACCTGATTTCAGCCAAGGTGTGAGAGGTAAACATCACACCTCAGGATGCATGGAGATGTCACTCTGCTTATTGCCCAAGGGGAGCCATGCATCCTGGAGGTGAGGTGGAGTCAATGCACCTGGGACAACCCTCAGCTAATGGGAGATGGGAATTGATGGGCGATCGCCCTTGCCTCCCATTCTTTGGTGAGTCAGTTCTAAGGTGCGTGCTACACAGTTCCTCCAAGAACTCCCAGCAAGGCACAGCTTTAATGCTCATAGCATTTGACCAGTTCAAAACACTTACCCACTTTGCAGTCTTTTCTCCCTTCCCTATCTCACTCTCCCAGTGCCCTCACTGCTGCTTCCTGGGATCACTTCCCAAATAATCTACCTGTGCCATACCTCTATTCTGTAATCTACACCTGATCAAGCCTCACTCTGGAAAATATCCAAACAGAGTCAGGCTGCTGTGGTAGAACAGGGAATACCAAGGAGGACTTGAAGTGGAGTGACAATAGGGGTTCACTGGTGTTTACTTGCTCACTCACACGCGAACTCATCTATTCGTTAGCTCACCTGACCACTCATTCATTCATTCATTCATTCATTCATTCCCT